ATATATATATATACATATTTAAGAAACTTGACATGATCTACATGATTTCACACGTGTTGTCACATGACTGGCACTTTTTATTTTGAACTCGGTGCCGCCTAAGTGAAACAGGAAGTGACATAAAAGGGGAACTTCCTGTTATTTGTTTGTTGAAACAACACTTGAACTCCGACTCTTCTTCTCTCTGATAGAGACTCAAAATAATCTAATGCAACTTTTTTTACGCAGACGTTTCATCTTAAACTCATTCTGATTGTATTGTGTTATAATTGGGGGGGGGGGGGGGGGGACAAAAAAATCTTGTTAGGTGAGCGCTACAGGTACAGCAGTTGTCCTTATCTGCTGCTGTCTGCCATGTTTTTGTGTAACGTCCCTCTGGTTGCGGGGGCAGGGAGGGGGGGGACAAAACATATTGGACCCAAACACCCCCCACTGATGACATATTCTGGTCTTCAGACGGACCCCACCCCCTCAAGAATTCAGATATCAGGTTTCACCGTCTGACAGCGTTCGTTCCATCCAGGGGCCGGGATCTGCTGCGGGGGGGTGGGGTGGGGGGGGGTGCACTTTATATTTAGCCACATCAACTGGATGATTGTGGCTGGAAACAAGCCCCCCTCCTCCCCCTCCCCTCAGACATCTGGCCCTCTGAAATCGGACACTGCCGGCTGCTAGCGCACGCTCCCGAGCTTTACATTTGTCTGACCGCAGCTTGGATGAGGTTCTGCTGGACCTCCTGGATCAGAACCGTTCAGACCAACGTGTCATCAGCAGAAGACGGTTTAGCTCTGGGACTTTATCGAGTCAAGTCCGAGGCGTCACTCTAAGCCCGCTTCACCACAGGGACGGTGGGAGAATCACTCTGGCTTCATCATGACTTCCCCCAGAACATCACAAAGCCCGACATAGACCCTGATGGTCACATGACCCCCGACAGGAAGTGCGTGGTCGGCCCGCCTGCAGAGCGGCGTCCCCCACGTTCACCCCAGCCCTCTCCCATATCTCCTGATTTAGACGCTCTATTTTCATCTCAGCAGCTTGAAGGCCTCGTTTGCCGCCCCGATCCACGATTTTGCTTCACGACACCAAACTGACCCGATCTGTGTCTCTTCAGTGTCTCCTTTGTCTTTTTTCTGTCTCCTCAAAAAACAAAAGTCTCTTAATGACATCATCAACTAATTTGTGTAACTGTCCTGAGATGACGTGTCTGGAGAGACAGAAGTCAGTCAAACCAACCCAACCAACACGGAGATCTGAAAACAAACTTTCTGCGCTCGTCTTGTTTTTTTATTTTTCACGCCACAGTTCCAACCCTCAACCTTTTTGCCCTGCCCACCAAAACAACAACAACAACAACAACAACAACAACAACCAAAAACCACTCAGAGTGATTTTGGCGCAGTGATTAATAAGTGACTGCAGCTGGGTGGGATGCTGCGAGAGAGCTTTGGAAGGGGGAGGGGCTACAGTGGGAGGGAGGGACTACAGCAGCACCTGCTGCCCGTTGGACAGAACGGTACCCGTTTCATGACCGCGACCTCCAAGAGCAAGAAGTTGCTAGTTTTGTTGTTAGTTGCTGTTTGGAAAGAAAAGCCTGAGTGAAAAGTCACAGTCTAAGTTGCACCGCAGGTTGTTGTTTCACAATCTCTGCTTTATTTCAGCATTTCTTGTCTCAAAACGTTCGGATCGTTCGGGACATTCAAAACGTTCGGCTCGTTCGGGACATTCAAAACGTTCGGCTTGTTCGGAACATTCAAAACGTTAGGCTCGTTTGAGACAGTTATAACGTTTGGCTCGTTCAGGACATTCAAAACGTTCGGCTCGTTCAGGACATTCAAAACGTTCGGCTCGTTTGAGACAGTTAAAACGTTCGGCTCATTCAGGTCAGTTAAAACGTTCGGCTCGTTTGGGACATTCAAAACGTTCGGCTTGTTCGGGACATTAAACTTTCGTCTCGTTCAGTACATTCAAAATGTTGAGCTTGTTCGGGACATTCAAACTGTTCGGCTTGTTCAGGACATTCAAAACATTCAGCTCGTTCGGGACATTCAAAACGTTCGGCTCGTTCGGGACATTCAAAACGTTTGGCTCATTTGAGACAGTTAAAACGTTCGGCTCATTCAGGTCAATTAAAACGTTTGGCTCGTTCGGGACATTCAAAACATTCGGCTCGTTCGGGACATTTAAAACATTCGGCTCGTTCGGGACATTCAAAACGTTCAGCTCATTTGAGACAGTTAAAACGTTTTGCTCATTCAGGTCAATTAAAACGTTTGGCTCATTCGGGACATTTAAAACATTCGGCTCGTTCGGGACATTCCTGCTGCTCTGACGTCTGGTGTTTGTGTTAGTTTTGCTTTTTGAAGTATTTAGCTTTGTCGGCCATGTTTTTCTCGTAGAAAATGAATGGATCTCTCTTCACACCCTTCAGCTGTTTAAAACCTGTTACTGCTCATTTCAACTCCTTTCTGCTTTTTTTGACTAATTTCAGCTTCCTTCTACTGGACTTATCTTCTTTCAGTCATTTTTAGCTACTTTTATTTTATTTATTTGCTACTTGACACTTTTTGTGATTCTTTCTTTCTTGGACTAATTTCTAATTTCAGCTTTATTTTGTTAATTCCAGATTTTTGTCGTCTGTTCAGCTGATTCTGCTCATTTCTGCTGTTTTTCAGCAGATTTCAGCTTTTATTTTCCTGCTTTCGGCTGTTTAAATTCAGCTCTCTGTAGCTGTTCAGGGAGGAAGTCCTGGACAGACAGATTAGTGTTTGAAAGGTTCTGATCCGGACTGAGCACTGCAGCAGTGAAGCTCGTTACAACCTGGGCTCTCTTTAACAGAACATAAAACAGAACCCGGCGGTACGTTTCCAGAACCACGCGGCGTGGTCCAATCACGTCTCCTTGCTCACCCGGCGCCGGTTACCATGGAGACGGTGAGGTCTGAGAAGTGGAGCAACGGTTTGGCACGGATCTCGTTTTTATAGATGTGTTTATTCTGCTCTGCCTCGGCAGCGGGACCAGAACCCGACCAGCTGAACCCACGCTTCTCTTGGTCGTGCTCAGAGTCGGACTCGGATCGATAAAGTCCACCCTCTTCTGGTTTTAAAGACCAAGCGGGTCTGGTCTTTATTGAGTTCTGAATGATTCAGATCAAACCTAAACTGATTCCACTCAGTCATTTGTTAAACAAAAGCTGGATCCAGAACCAGCAGAACCTCCTTTAGAACCTGAACCCTCACTGGTTCTTTGTAGGACTTCATCAGTCTCTATGCTGGTTCTGGATGAGTTCTGGTCCACTTTTCTTTCCATCATTGAGGGTTCTGCTTAGCTCTGAAGATCCACCACAGCGTTTCAGTCAGGTTCAGGTTCTGGATTCAAACTGGACCTTGGTTCTGTTCTTTCTGACCCGTTCTGTTGTAGATCAGCTGCAGAACCCTTTGGTCTACAGAGGAGTTCTGGTCCACTCAGTGACCGACAGAAGCCCGAACCATCAGCCCTCCACCACCGTGCTGACAGCTGGGAGGAGCTGTTTGCTGCAGTGCATTCTGGGTAAACACCTGTCCTCTGGTCTGGTTCTGGTCCAGAAGTCTTGTGGTTCCTTCGGATGAAATCATACAAATCTCTGGAGCCAAGGAAATATGCAGGATGGAGCGGTAGCTCTGAAGTAATGAGGGTGTTGCTCCAGTCTGTCGTGGTGAATGAGCTGAGCTGAAGGCAAAGTACTGGATTTAAACTCCATCTATGTTCTGACCTTCACCTGGGGTCATCAGGTGTGGATCCTGACTATGCATATCTGGATCCAAGTGGCCGAGATCTTCTGTTGGTGGGTCGAGCCGGGCCTCCGGGATGAGCTGAGGAACTCACTGTTGCTCGGCATGGACTGGGCCAGCTGAGGTAGTTTCCTAAATGTCTCCTCCTGGAGGTTTTCGGAGTTCTTCCTACTGGGAGGAGACCAGGTGGACCTATGGTTCTACCCTAACAGAACACCTTACAGGTGGAGGAACACAGAGGGTCAAATTATTCTATACCAAGAAACTGTTGATTTGTTTTTATCTGTTTGTTAGAATCTCCTGGAGTCTTCATGTTAGCGTGGCGCTAGTTAGCATAGCACTAGTTAGCATGGTGCTAGTTAGCATTGCACTAGTTAGCATGGCGCTAGTTAGCATGATGATAGTTGGCATGGTACTAGTTATCGTGGCACTAGTTAGCATAGCACTAGTTAGTATGGTGCTAGTTAGCATTGCGCTAGTTAGCATGGCGCTAGTTAGCATGATGATTGTTGGCATGGTGATAGTTAGCATGGTACTAGTTATCGTGGCACTAGTTAGCATAGCACTAGTTAGCATTGCACTAGTTAGCATGGTGCTAGTTAGCATGATGATATTTGGCATGGTGATAGTTAGCATGGTACTAGTTAGTGTGGCAGTAGTTAGCATGTGATAGTTAGCATGTGCTAGTTAGCGAGCTACTAGTTAGCATGGCGCTATTTAGCGTTGTGCTAATGCTAAATGTATTTAAAGAGCTCCGCTTCAAACTGGAAACTTCCAACCTGTGTTGACATTAAATCTTGTTTTTCGACCCATTTGCAGTTTATTGGAGTAAAATGCTTCAGTTTAAGTGTTTCTGTTTGAGCTTGAAGCATCAGTGAACCTTCCAATTATGGTTTAATATTTTAGTTTTAATTTCTGGGTGAGCTGAAGGTGAACTACAAGAAGTTTTGGTTTTATTAAACTGAAACCTGCACGGCTGTTTCTGCTCCAAACTAAAACCCTCATCTGATTTCCATCCCACTAACGAACCTGAACAGATGACGGTCTCGGTCTGTGTCCATCCTTCAGCTGCGTGCTCATGCTAAGCTAACGGCCTCTGGCTCCAACCTGGAGCTCAGGATCGTGATCAATCGATCGGCTCGTTGATCGCTTCGATCTTCCAGATCAGAGATAATAAATAAATGTTTGAAACCAGGATTTTAACACTTTCCTCTCCTCGTGTCCCGACAGATGCAGCTGCTCGACAAGTTCCCCATCGAGGGGGGGCAGAAAGACCCCAAGAAGAGGATCATTCCGTTCCTCCCAGGTAATAGTCTGGTCCCGCAGCTCCAGTTATCTGGACTGGCTCTCTTATTAAAAATGCATGAGTGGCACTCGTGGGGCGCCGTACTCAGCTGATGAGGCAGAATCTGGGACTTCTCACCTGCACCGTTTATCTTCGCTCGCCAACGGGGGAGAGGCGATAATGTTTTTTATCTGTCAGTTAGCAAAATATCCCATGACTCACTGGACATGTCTCAACATGTAATCCCTGGATGGACGAGTGCAAATTAAACTGGATAGTCAGTCCAGATGAAGATGGCCGCCGTCACTTCAGGCACTAAAATACGTTTAATTTGACAGATACGGAGTCATGGTGTGTAACGTTGTTTCTGCAGTTTGACCCAAACGGCTCCACGTCCGTCCCTTCTCCTCGTCACATGACCTGAGGCGGGAGATGCGCATTAATCTTTGTCCTCAACATGTGACACGCGTGAGACTCGGACCGTTGGTTCTGGACTGATGCTGCGTCACGTAATCGGTCCTCCTGGTTCTACTGCAGCTGACGTTCTGCCATGGTTCTACTGCACCTGAAGTTCTGCTGCGGTTCTGCAGCAGCTGAAGTTCTGCTACAGCTAAGGGTCTGCCATGG